GTATGTGTGTACGTACATCTGCCGCGAAAATGTTTCCACCGTCGTTGGTTTTATAGATGTGTCTCCGCGGTGGATAGGCATGTTTTTGTCGGCTTACGCGAGGACCTTGCCCCGCGCGGATGTTCATGCGCGGCGTTTGAGGACCCGACGGTAATATTTTAGATTATTTCATCTTCAGTGTCAGTTGTTGCGTGACAGCTTCGGGCTCGGCGCCAGCTTGCTATGATAGAGACATATTTTTCCTCTTGTTTATTTTTGACAAACGTGAAATGCTTTACCCGTGAGTGTCATTCAGTGTTTTCGGAGTGTGAGCAGGAGGAAACTGGGGCAGTAAGAGCATTAAATCTCTGAGTTAAATTGGCAGTTTTCGGTAGCAAGCTTAGTTAGCCTGCTAGCTAGCTATATAGGTTGCTCTCTTTTGGTTGTATAACTAACACCTGTGGCATTAAATTGTATATGTTAAACGCTAGCTTGCCTTATCTTATGGCTCGTTGCTGTTTTGGGAGACGGAAAAACATTCGGTCATGTTGCTCATATGAGAGTTAATTCATTGGGAATGGTTTACAACGTCTTCGTCCAATGAAGAAGCTCAGTTTAACGAGGCTTCACTTATTGGCCATGAAGAGAACACCAAGTACAGGTCAGCATCCCGAAATATAGCCTCGGGACCACCAGTCCTTATGATGGTTTTATACACACGAGGGAGATATGAGAGAGCATCTCTTCTAGTATGCTGTCCATAGGTGTTAGTGTAGTCTTCGTGACCTCTCTGCCCACACTTATATACAGCAAAATCCTCTTAGAAGGCGTTGATTAAGTGGTGGTCTGTTGTCCCTGTGACGGTGGGACTACTTGACGAGTTTGGGAGCGACTCCTATAGACTAATCTTTTAAGCCTTTAGCAAATGCTGAAATTGATTATTCGACTCTTGTGCATGAGTTTGCTTGTAGAAAAAAACACTCACAAGTTATTGCTGTTCAGTTGTGGTGCTGGTTGGTGTTAATGTAAAGAGTAAATCTTTAGACTGTTGTTTTTATTTAAAAAAAAAAGAAAACACACACTGAGCATTAATGCGAAGACTAGGTTGGCCATAACAGTTTGAGAATCAAAACAACAGAACTGTTGATTAACAGGAAAACAATCAGCAACTACTCTGATAAGTCATCACCAGTCATTTTTCATGGCAAAATGCCAAGGTTATATTGGGTCCAGCACCTCAATTGTGATCATATATCTCTGTAAAATGATTGGACTGTTGCTGAGATAATGGGGTATTTGTTGTTAATTTTTATATGAAAGTAGTATTAAATCCCTTTTACTTTTAACCGTTTCTTAGACAGAGCAGGCTTGTTTTTGGCATTTTAGTGGTATGACAAATCTATGTGTAAAAGCTGATTACTTGCAGCTCAAGTTTCCTGTTTTGTACTTTGCAGCAACTAACATCTGCATTTTTCGGGTGACTTCTAGAATTTCTGTGCATGGTAAACAGTGGGTGTATGTTTGTGTTGCAGGTGAGGTGTGGTTTGCACACACAAGATTTGTCAGCAACTCAAAGGCTGCGATCTCAAACAGCTAATTATACCAACAAGTGACATTCCAGAAGGTAAGTTACATGATGTAAAACTATTGTAAGTGCAGAAGTAAATTTCATTTCAGGGTATTTTTTCTGTATTGGTTTATGTTATTCACACTTTGAAGATCCTGTCACATGTTATACTGTAATTTAATAATCTTAATTCATAAAATACATTTATGTCCATAATGTATATTGTACCAAAATTAAAAGGAAGAAACTGATGTTAAAGGGGAAAAAAGAATAAATAAAAATAAATCTTGGTTTAAGAAATGGCAGACAGTGCACTAGGAGATGGTTATTATGTTTCCAAACTCTCTGGTTGGTTTCCTCATGACCGTTGGTTTCTGCTCTGATTTCATCCAGCAGGTTTGCTTGACCACCATGTCCTTCCTGTGGCCTGGTGCCCTCTCATGACCCCAATGACCTCAGCTCCACTTTTGACCCCAAACCCCTTCTACAACCCCCTGAGAAAATACGTTAACTGAGCACGTGCATAGGCTGCAGTGAGGTGAGAAGTTAATACACAGACACACAGATTTAATCTGGTGCATGGAAAAGTGTTTATCAAATGTGAGATATTATTATTATTATTATTATTATTATTATTTAGTGTGTGTGTGCATGCATGTATGGAGATGTAACTGTGTTTTTAAAAAGAAAGGAACTAGTTAAGAGAAAAGATATGATCTGCAAATGTTATGGTTAGAAAAGGGACTACCCTTTCAGGCTTTCACTTCAAAGCCCCATTTAGTGCCTTCATATACAATATGAAAAATAACTAGGAGTTAAACTAATAAACTACCTGCTCTTTTTGTCTCAACAGGTGGTCTTCCAAATGCCTACCTCACGCCTAAAGAACAAATCACTGCAGCCACAGCCCTGATTAGCAGCCACCATGACATCAAGCATAGGGTATAATGCTGCACACAATACCTCAAAATGTTGTCTACTGTATACAGAATATGTTCATAATCACATGTACAAAATCACAAAATATATGTATGTAACATCTGGCTCAAAAATTTAAGCTCATTATTTTAACTCTTTATATTTCTTTACTTTTGAAAGAATATTTTTCCATTTAAAGAAAAGTTATGGATAGCATCTATCAGTCCCAATCAAATTATTTTTTTGACCCATATTAATTGAAACGTAGTCAAGAAACGCACCCTATTACACAAATGCGCTTAATCTTCTTGGCAAACAAAACACATTCCTTCTACCGCTCGCTCTCTCTCTCTCTCTCTGTCTGTCTCACCCGTTTTCTGTGTGACCCAAAAATAAACCTGCTGCTGGCATGTACAATAGGAATTCTCTCATTAGCCAACATCAGTCATTGGTTATTATTAACAATGCATACCTGCCTTCAGGGCCACCGCACATGCAGGAAAACGTAAACAAGTAAGTCTTGAAAGCTGTGAATGGCTGTAAATTTCTTTGCTTTCTTCCTTCTTTAGGGATGATTGTAGCATCTTTGATGGGTTGATGGAAGAAGATGAAAAGGACAAAGCAAAACGGTAAGATAAACATACTGGAGAGGAGATTAGTCTAGTATGGACTTAAAAAAAGTCATAGAATATTGATTAAACATGAGTCAGTACATTTTTGTTAATACACAGTGTCAGAGCTGACTTTGTCCTAATGTCATTCACACAACAGTCATTCTGCCTTGACTTTCACATAACCAGGGCCACTTATGATAAAGTTACATTACTGTTTTTTTTTGTTTTTTTTTTAAAGTTTGTTTTTTAAAGCCAAGTCAAAACACTGGATGAAAACAGAACCAAATAAAATGTCTTAAACCTTCTATTTTAAAATTATTTTGGCTTGCAGCGTGTCCCGTAACAAGTCTGAGAAGAGACGGCGAGACCAGTTCAATGTCCTCATCAAGGAACTCGGCACAATGTTGCCTGGCAACACTAGAAAGATGGACAAGTCCACCATCCTGCAGAAAAGCATCGACTTCCTCTGTAAACACAAAGGTCAGAGCTTTCTGCCGTGCTCGTCTCACTTCCTGTTTTTGCTGAACACCTCACAGGGTGGATGTTTTTTGTATATTTAGCTTGATCATTCCGATTTAGCCACACTTATCAGGGTTTGTTTACCTTCATCACTAGAAAGTGAAAGCATGTTTTTATTGCCTTTTTATGAGACATTGGTGCTGTAATTTTACATTACAAAATGGTAACTATTTGAACCAGTTGTGTATTTTTGACCTAACAAGTTATTCTTAAAGTAAATCTACCTTTATGTCTTTTAATAATTATAAGGGTTTCAGCAGTTTTAACTTTTTATGAATACTAATATTGTGTTTATGTTAAATTATTTCATCACTGTATATAGGTCAATGATCCTTTTGTTTTTATCTAGTGTCATTGACTTGCAAGATAATAAAATACTAGCTTCCGCTTCACGTGCACTCTTACCTAGCATGTTTTTAACTGTCTTGTTTTCATACTGGACATAGCAGTCTCAAAACATTTTTCCACCCAGTTGTTTACTGTTAACTTTATGCTGTTTTTGTTGTCTTTTTACATGCTCTCACCTCTCGTGCTCTTATTCCTCCTCGACGTTTTCCACTATGCCTGTATTAAGTTCTGACTGAATTCTCTGTCCTTCACCAGAGATTGCAGCTCAGTCTGAGTCGAGTGAGATCAGGCAAGACTGGAAGCCTCCATTTCTTAGCAATGAGGAATTCACCCAGCTCATGCTGGAGGTCAGAAATCTTAGGTTTCGTTCTGTAATCCTGTCTGTTGTGTAAAAACACAGGCACTTGACCCACAGTTGTATTAATGCAGTGGTCAGTGTCATCTCATTTTGTACAGTATAGTTATATCTGAAGTTAAATTTACAATTTTAAGTTTGTCCTTATGGGATTTCACACTGTTTTTTTTTGTGGTTTTTTTTAACAGGCTCTTGATGGGTTCTTTATAGCAATAATGACTGATGGCAACATCCTCTATGTGTCTGAGAGTGTCACTTCACTACTAGAACACCTCCCGGTAAATCACCTCCCCCTGCAACCGTGTCTGTATTAGTCATACACTTTATTATAACAAAAGCTTTCATAGGATCTTTTGTGTGGTTCAGATTAAACATGTCAGGCTGACCAGTGTGTATTGAAAAGGGCTTGTCTTCATTTGTATTCTTCTTGAATGTGTGTGTGCCTGTGTGTGGGTGTTTTATCAGGCGGATTTGGTGGACCAGAACCTGTTAAACTTCCTGCCGGTTGGGGAACACTCCGAAGTGTACAAGGCTCTGTCCACACACCCCTCTGAGCTAGAGAACCTTAGCACTGATTACCTAAAGTGTGAGTAACACACCGTCATCTTGTACCATAAAACCTGCTTATTTGAAATGATAGTTGGTTTACAAGTTTTTTGTATGTCTGATGATTAAACAGGATTATTTATTATTATCAGATTAAAAATGCTCAAAAGTAAAAGTATTTCTCAAATAAATAGATAAATAAATAATGTTAAAAATGATTCAAATTTCAAAAACGTCACCATAGTGTGAAGACACGGCTTGTCAGAGTGAAGCAGCTGGACTGGACATGAACTTTGTGGAGCACATGAACAGCATGTTTTTACAAGCAGTTGTATTTTTTTTTTTCCCCCAAGGTAATTATAATCTCTTTTTTTTCTTTTTTGTCTCCAGCTAAGAGTCACATGGAGTTCTGCTGTCATATGCTGCGAGGGGCCATTGACCCCAAAGAATCCCCTGTTTATGAATATGTTAAGTTCATCGGCAACTTCAAGTCTCTCAATAACGGTATGTACCTCGCACTGCAAGTGAGGAATTTCAGAAGATTTTTTTTTTTTTTAAATACTATTTTCCAAACAAGCTTGCATGTATAGATACAAACTAGCATTAAACTTGTGTGTTAAACCCATTAAATGTTAAAGTCAAAAAGTGGAAAATAAGCATATTTTTAAGATATCAATCATTTACTAGCCTAGAAAGATATTATTCTGTGTACTGCTCTGTGAACCACATTTTATATTCTTTGACATGCTGAGTAAGTAACACTGTTGTGCAGTTCCCAATGTGACTAGGAACGGTCTGGCAGGGGTGTTACAGCGGTCGCTACAACCTGCCTTTGATGACCAGGTGTGCTTTGTAGCCACGGTCCGGCTAGCTAAGCCTCAGTTTATCAAGGTATTATTCAGACATGAACTGACTTTACTCATTAGATTGTCATGTATTTATTTGTCAATTAGCTATTAATTATCTCTCAAAACATCTAATTTTCACAATTTTATTTTCATAGGAAATGTGTACGGTGGAGGAGCCCAATGAAGAGTTCACGTCGAGACACAGTCTAGAATGGAAATTCCTCTTCTTAGACCATCGGTAGGCAGATCTAGTTCTTCTCCTGTATACTCAATCACAACGGGTTGTTGGGTGGTTGAGTTGCACCCACATGGCTGCTGTCATATATAGATGGCTGAAACACACATTCACACACTTTATGATTGGTCAGTTTAGCAAATGTGAGAATTTATTCATGCATCTAACCTCTTCAGTTCTGTCTTCATTCATTATTGACAAATTTAAATGTGAACTAGAGGATAGTATGGTCTTTTTCCAGGTCACGTTTCACGTTTTTCCAAAAATATGTTGTTTTACTACATTTTCAGATACAGTGACATGATCATCATGCTTAGTGTATGCATCTAGTACTACATTATTGTGAAAATTGTGTTATTTTTAGTGGTGCTTCATATATATATATGAGCCCCGTTGCATTTCAGTTCTTCACAAACTGTGTTCTTGTTCTTCAATTTATTTCTCCATTGAGATCTTCCTCCACACTTCTAGTTTCACTTTTCAGGACACCAGAAGTTAAGAAATCATAGAAAATAAATAAATAAACAAATCATAAATAAAATAAATGAGGGCAGCACGGTGGCACAGTGGTTAGCAC